TTCAGCTGTACGTCACTGCAAGTGTGCATCCGTACAAGCATTTTAAACGCTGTTAAGTCTGCTAACGTACTGTTTATCTGACGCGGTAGTTTCTAGTGAACGGAGCCTAAACCATGTGAAATCTAAAATTCCCTAATGACTATAACCGGACGGACAGTTGACGAATAACGGATAACTACTCTTATGTAATTTTATTTACAATCGGCACTCCTTTTTTATCGGGCTAGTACTTTGTACTTTTATCGGCTTGATGAAGAAGCTGGGTTGACCTTTTCGCATACCTAAATGAGGCTTTGGACCACGGTTGTTAGTTTATTTTACGCCTGTCGTCGTATTTATTTTTTATGTATTGGATATGGTTTGTAGTATCAGCACTCATTTGGCTTATTGAGAAAAGGAAACATTAATAGGGAAACATTAACGATTATTGGGAATCTCGTATGTGGTTTTTAGTGGGAAGGTGATGTCAATTTCAAAGTAAAACAGCTTCTTCGCTGCTTCAGTGTGGATAATTCGGAAATGTTTTTTTTTAAATTGCGTTGAAATTTTTAAATTGTAGGTGTGTTGTTGAATAGAAATTGTGAGGAGTACACAATTTCGTTCTGATAGTCAGAAGGAAAGTTTTGCGCCTGAAAGGCGATAACCATTACTAGTACTTGCCATTTGGAATTAGGTGCCTAAATTGGATAATATCGCATACAAGAAATGCCATCGGCTTCGCCTCCGCACTCCTTGAGAGAATACCAACCCTGTTCAGTACAGTAAACCAAATTCACCGATAGTATATGGCAGGTGTATAGTAGACGATCAATATAACACGTATTATAAGTATTGTATGGCTCATACATTAAAAGTTACCAATAATAATGGTGGTACTGTACTAAAGAGTATCACGGCGGTTTTGTTTGGTACTGGCAACTGGCAAGTTTAATTACAGTACTTACTTATCACACAGTATGGCAATCCTCAACCATAATCAATGCACAGGTAGAAAGAAAAGAGTGGATTTATAAACAGTCGTGCAGTAGTTACAGTACTTCTATAATTTTGTGTTTTATTTTGAAATCCGAGAACACAGTATGGCAGTCATTTAGCAATAAATGCGTAGGGTGCTTTTGACTTACATAATTACGCATTAGTACATGCAGCTATAGGATTTCAATGGTGGGTTACGATTAGTAATGCCTCATAGCAGTCCATTTTCCTTCTAATCATTTTCTTTATTGTATCTTTATTGATTTTCCCAAATAAAAGTAAGTCGCCATTCTTCAACGGAGCTTTACAGTATGTGTCAACAATAAATTCGTTGAATAGTCCTCCAAGGAAATTTCTCCGTTTTCTCTGGAACGTTCGATATGAGCATTTTGTGCGTTTAGGCAACTGATGTGAGCTTTTAATAGAAATACTGGTGCAGGAAAAATGCAGATTTATTTTCACGGTCAAAGGTCAGTTAGTATTACTGTTAGTTAGAAAATTGTGGTCGTGTATTTGTTTTGGATTCTGAAACCTGAATATGTACGTATTAAGTGTAGCGTACGTATTAAGTGCTTGAAGTAAAAGGCTAATATTTTATAGTAAGTGCTTAATAATTGAAGAAAGAAATGTAGCAACGATTCTAAGATGGATCAACGGACGATAGACGGTATTGCAGTGGTGGTCGCAAATTATCACTGACTTCTTCGCCATCTTAGGCTCGTCCCGAATTCAAAGCGAATCTCGTTGCGATACAGCAACTCCACCTCGCGAGGTGGCTTCGCGTACCGTATCTGTAGGCGTGGCCACTGCATACAGCCACCTCGTGCGGTTGAGCAACCGTACCATAGCGAGATTCGCTTTGAATTCGGGACAGGGCCTTAGAGTGTGATTATGGGAACAGGAGGGTTAGGTTGTGATAAAGACGACCTGATGCTGGTTTTGAAGGACCGCCACGTGTTAACTCTTCGATCTGACGCTGTAATTTTAAAACCACACACTGAAGTTCCGCGTTCGTGACCTTTGGTTTGGCAGGCTTGGTTGGCGGCGGATGAACAGCTTCGTTGGCCGAGGCGTTAGTATAACAAAGTCTTTATCGTTTTTTGTTTTCCACGGCTAAACTTAAGAATTTTTGAAAACAAAAATATTCAAAAATGCCGTAACTGAGGCTGGTGCACCGGAAGTGGTAAGTGGAGCCCTATGTCCAACTTGGCATCGAAAACCAAGCTGGTTGGACTACCGCTTGTGAACCATCCGCGACCAAACCCCTTTTATTGATAAACCCGATAAATGACAAACGATAGACAAAATGATAACCATAGAAGGGTGTGAAGTTACGAGAAGGGGTACTGTAGCACAAATGCTAGGACACCATGTTAAATGTTGGTACTACTTGTAGTAGAAAAATACGACGTGTGATAGGGCTCGGTTGTACGGTATAAATTGTGCAGAGTCGAAATGCACACGAGTTGACATTGGCATGTTACAGTAAGTATTTGTTTTAAAACTTGGAATGCCCGACGGCGGCACAGTTGTAACAGATGACACGGAAGTAGGATCGGGCATCGGAACGGTGCAGATGATGTCTGCCATTATGGCCGCATCTTCACTATACACTGATGTTAGTGATATCGTCTGGCAGACGATATCCCTAACTTCCGTGTACGCTGCTTTTTCACGGAAACGAGTGTCACAATCTGGCCATATGATGAGTGAGCGGGACACGGACATGCTGCGGATGATGTCGATGTAGAGTAAGAAACAGAGTGTCAGATCCGGATGTTAGAACGATCGAAAGCGCGCAGATAACAGGAACGCTTCTAACCCGGTAGCAAAGCTGTCAATTTTTCGTCGAGGAGGAGGAGCCACCGTCGGCACCAGTTTCCCTTCTCCGTCTGGCACAGAAATGTTTGGTTCGCTTGAAAGGTCAAAATCGCGATGTAGCGGCTGCATTTTATTTAGGCTAAATAAAGCTTTTTGATCGGCTAATGTTTTCACAAGCAAATTTTCCAGAACTGGCAAGGACTTTTACGCTGGAGGCTTGATGAAACCATGCGGATGGACAGAAGCGTTCGCCAGGTCGATCAGCACGGAGGTTTGGTGAGAGGCTGCTGACAGTGAGGCAACTGGTGGAAGAGGATGCTTGCGATCTATTAGCAGTGACGCTTGGCTTTGTAGAGCTGTCACTGATGCTGTCAATGATTCGAGGGAATGGCGTTTCCCTTTTGGCTTAAGACGAGGTTACGTTTCGGGATTGGTACCCATCGGCTTCTACACCGAAGCCGTTGTCGGAGCAACGTGTTCTTCGGCGCAGCATGACAATATAACCGCTCGATTTTTGATTTGCCAAAATTGCAATTTTAAAATACAAATTTTCTGCGTTCACGAAAGTTTTGTGGTAGTGGGGTCATGAAGCATCAGCAGGATGTTTTCGCTGTCGCCATTTCTCTCGCTCAGCGCTAACCTTATTTAAGCTTCTGCGGTAAATGGGATTTAAATATAAATTTATATATTAGCCCATATTTTTAGCAAAACAAGTTAAAGGTCACACCTGTAGTTTCCTGATGTCACGTCTTTTATTGCTGAACAAGCAAAACGTGCATTTTTTCGCTCGTTTGAAGAGGTTCATGTTTCCTGGTAAAGGAAGTCTGAAGGTAAATCTTGAAAAGTGTTTTCCATTTCAAGAGGATTCGATCAATCGTGATATTTTTCACAATTGTCCTGTGACTCCTGTCCTTAATATTGTATAAACGAAGACGATAAAGTAATTACTTAAGTGTACGGAATTTTGGTAACTGTTTCGTTGTACGTAACACAAAGGGTGTACGCCATAAGACCGTTCGTATCACGGAGGTTTTACTGTATCGCGGTAAATATGTACTCCGCTGTACGAGTACGATTGTGATTTGTGATACATTACGATTCGTTTGTTCTCTTATTGCAGCGATGTCTTATGTCTGTTATAATTCAACGCGTACATTTGGGTGACCTGGAGATTCCGTATTTGGCAGCATTTCGCGTGTTATCAGCTGACATACGTTTGCTTGCCAAGTGCGGAAAATAAGGTGTTTGAATTCTTCATTATATTTCTGTATACTATTAAGCTGGAAATTACAAAGCTGGGGTTTAGTGTTTGAAAACATTTTGATGGACAAAAAGTAAAACGGTGCGGCGTGCATTGCGGCGTTATTGCGTCGTATCATGAAAAAAGTTTTCTTATACAGAATATCACCTATAGAAGTCGGTCCTAACTCTGCTTGTCGTAAATCAGTTAACGATTAAACCTGTAGCCTTGCAGTTATTGCTGCTTCAGTGGTTGGTGAATCAAAAAAGCAGATTTTGTATTCGTGAAAAGCGTGAACGGCACACTAGCATTTGAATGTGATCCAAGTGAAAGGGCTGGGCTAGGCTCGCACAGACACTCGCAAAAAATCTGCCGATTGAGGGAATCGAACCCACAACCTCCATACTCTAAGGCCGAGAGACGAACCACTAGGCTATCGGCAAAGCATACAAATGTAATGAAATATTCCATTGAACGATCCTATAGAGAGCGGATGCCGCTCTGACATAAGTACCGTAATTATCGCATTTGTAGCTCCCCCGAACTATGAGCCGTCCCTTCTGAAATAAGCGCTCCTCCCCGATCCTGTTTGAAAAAAAGGACACCCCCGAAACTACGCCCCAGGGGCCGATAATGAATGTCAAGCGCTGCAAATTATAGGTGTGCTGCACATTTTTTTATATCCATTGTTGTGATTTCATTGGTTTTATGCTTAAAACTTTATGGTTAAATGAAGTTTTTCAGTTTAGCGTTCTTTGTCCAATTCTTCTACAAGGTTGGCGATACGATACTGATTGAGGAGAGAACATTCTGACTTGGCCACTTTTCTCGTAAATTTTATAAAAATGTTAATATACAGACACATCTGCAGCGCAACACATCTGCAAACAGAGATCATAATATATTGTATATAAGGACTAAAATTAACGATGTGAGATATCTCACAACGGCAAATAAAAACAATTTAAGCAAAAGTAATAAGAAAGGTGATGTCGACATGCATAAACAAATCATAAGCATTATTATGTGCGTCGTGACACGCGATATGCTGAATCACGGACATGGGTTTCAGTCTGCAAAGTATCCGTCCATGATATGAAGAGCCAACCGGCTCAGCATCCAAACATCCAGCTGCCGCAGGTTCACTCCATCCCAGCACTGTGGTTGGCCGTCCGGCCGCACACTGCTGAACCTGTCAACCAGATACATTTCCATTATAACCAGCCGGAGTCTCGAGAATGATAATTTTCCGTGTTACTTACAGATTCAGGAATCTGCGAATCCCCGTCCATTGATCGGGACGCTGCAGCGTATACAACCACCGCGCATGCACCCGCCCGACTAACGGTCGAACAATGGTTGTTGACGGCGGCGATGAAACGGCGGGATTGCTCGGCTGGCGACTCCGCGCGATCGAAGCGCAGAAACGGGATAATCACGTCCAAATGCGCCCCTTGAGACGGCCGCTCCACCAGATGGCCGCCTTCCAACCAATCTTGGCTGTCATTACGACTGTTACAGAGGGCGCGAAGCAGGTCTCGATTACCTGACCGAACTGAAGCAGTGTAGTTGATGAACAGCACCTGCTCACATTGCGACAGGAACGGCGACAGCTGCTGGCATTCATACTCTCCGGTCTGGTGATGCCGCGTGATGCCCATGAAGCAGTTTGTCCACCTATCCGCGATATCCCCGCAGTTCTTGATGATAATCTACGGCAGGCAGATGCCCTTTACCTTCAGTATTTGCTGGCTATCGCGTAAATTATTCCAGAAGCTGCTCGTTTCCCCGTAATGATGCTGGTAATGCCAGCCGTACGTAAACGCTAGGATCCGCGTACTCGGAGTGAGGCTGCCATCCAGCATCGTTACAATTCGGTACGCGAGGAAGCTTTTCGCGACACAGGCATCGGAAACATGGTGCCGTTTTTTCATGTACAGGGGACAGGCGTCGAAGCAGTGTTTTGCAACAGATCCCCTCCACAGCGCGCAAACTCGGGCAAAATATGCCAAATAGAGATGGCAGCGGCCGGCCGGGAGCCGGCTAAGCCGCAGCTTAGCCGGCGATTGGCCAGCCGGCTGAGGGTTTTTGCTAGCCATAGCCGCTCCAAAGCCGGCTGCTTCAGCCGCGATGAGTTAGCCGGCTAAGGATTTCAACCGGCCGTCAGCCGAAAGGTCAGCAGTTTAGCCGGCCGCTGCCATCTCTAATGCAACAGCTTGATAATCTTTTAAGTTTAATGGTTTAACGTCCGCACAAATTCAGGGAAAAACCCCAATTCGGGGCAGCAGACACTCGCAACAACAACAATAATTCTCCAGAATACACAGTATTTCAGATCAAGCTTTAAACAATAATACAGCAGCTTTTTAAACTCTATGTCTACACTGAAATGCACAAACTCGACAATTTTTTTCGGTGAAAATTTTTTTGAAAACCGATTGCAAATTCGTGCTCAGCGCAACTCTACAGCCACTGACCCGCTATGGCAGTACTGCTCCAAAACCTGTAATAGCAGTACTGTAGGCAAAGCAAAACAGAAGATTACCAGTTTCCGGAGCTCAGAATTAAATAATCGCCGGCGATGCAGTTCTCGCTTCGCGTAAATTTGTATACTTAGTTATGTCACATCGAGATTGTTAGCTCATACTCTGTCGCTGATGTGTTATTGCGGTACATATTCGATATTCCTATCGTACTGGCCTCCCATCTAGAGATGGCAAAACTAAAAAAACTAAACTAAACTAAGCTAAAACTCGGTTAAAAGTTTTAGTTGCTAAAATTGACTTGGTTAAAACTTTTTAGTCGGCTAAACGTCGGCGACTAAATTTTAGTTGTTAACCTGAATTTAGTTAAAAATTTTAACCGGTTAACCAAAGTTAACCGAGACTAAAGATAAATTTTCTGTTAAAATGTTTTCCTTATTCTACAGTGGGTGTCACTATCGCGCGGCGAAATGAACCCACCTGTCGCCATAGTGCCATTAGTTCCGTATAACAAATAAAAACAGAATCAAAATTTATTCAGCCTTCAGAGAACAATAAAATTTTATTTTGAAAATATAAGCTACAGTAGAAACAAATCCGTAATTGTATAATGTACATAAGTACTGGAAAAACTGTCAGTACTGTCAGTACATGCATATTACACACTTCATAGGGCCATTACACAGTACAGTACTTCAATGTAAAGCCATGCAGCTAACTGCATTAGAAGATACAATACGCCATGCGCTACATTTACGATTAAATTGAAGTACTGCACGCATATGCGAAAAACCAACGTCTCTTGCGGTCCGCCATTACGCTGGTAATAAATTTCGGTTAACCGGTTAACCGCTGAGTTTTAGTAGCTAAAACGTACTCGGTTAAAATTTTAATTACTAAAAGCTCTTGACTAATTTTTTAGTCACTAAAGTTTGTTAAACTAATTTTTTTAGTTTTAGTCGAGTTAACCGAAGTTAACCGACTAATTAGTCGACTAATTGTAGTTTTGCCATCTCTACAGTCCATCAACGATTTTTCCCACCCACTCTTTTTGATGGCTTCCATCCAAAAACATTGCTGGCGTGCAACCGCAAAACATTTGCCTCACGACATTTCGTACTAGGTTTGTAGCGCAAGGGTTTCCTATGTGTCGTTGTGCGACATAAATTACGCACATAAATTATGTACTCATTAAAATTAATAACATCTGAAGTAGTGCCGTTTTCTCTACCGCTTTTTGTAATGCAATTAGGTTATTAACATTGTTTCGAATTATTGGTTATTTACGTGGTCTCCTTCTCAGTGGTTTCTCACTTTGTGCCAAGAATTATCCATAACGCCGGAATGATACTCGGAAAGTGCAGGCGAGTGTTTTCATCCAGCCTATTGCATGCAGCGGATAATGTTTCCGGTTGCACAAAACAATCGAAATAAACCAATAGTCACAAAGGCAAAAAAATATTCGATATCTTACCGGTTCATGCACAACTGCGTAACGATGTCCAGATTGCACAGAAGCACCTGCCAGGATTGGATGAGGAAGGTCGGTAATCTTCGCGTCGTCCACATCTACAAGAAAACCAGCGTAAAAAAGTCATAACTTTATGACTTTCATGATCACCCCAAAGTTAAGATTTTAGTTTCTTGGTGAACGAAATCTCCAGTTAGGCAAAGCTGTGGAACAGGTGTCCTGCACTTACCACATTGCAGACGACTTGCTCCACTTATCGTGGCAGTGGTACTGTCGACTTTTTGTTGCTCAGTGAGATACCTGTGGCACGCTTCCCGCACGGCGTTCTCGTTCCAGAACATTTTGCGCTCGGCGGCGTCACCATGCACTTCGCCGCAAACGACCGTCGCCGTGTCAGGTCCCGCCCGTGCGAATACACGACAACCGATATCCATCGCAAATGTCGGATAGTGCGCTCCGGCACACTTGAACTTCATGGTATCCCATTCAGCAGTTGGTGTCCGTGAACACAGGCCACCACACACACGATCTCCAGGTCCTAACGCTAGCCTGCAGGTTTCAGCCAGGAAACGAGGGAGGAAATCCACTCCACGTAGCAATTGGGCCGTGACAAAGCTGACGGTGTGTTTGCGCTACAGGATGCCGGTTTCCTTACCAAAGAAACTTTGTTCCTTGCCTGGTACCGGCAATTTTTCCACAAACTGCGTCTTATGCACGATGCGGCAGGCCACCATTTTATCTGGGTTCGGATTATCTAGCTGACGTACGCCATAGAATCCGTCACACACCTCCTCCGAAATAGTCACCGGCCGGAATACCATTGGTCCATCGTCCACGTCTCTTAATGCGGCATACACAGTGCAAGTGCAGCCTTCAAAGCTGTATCTGCGGCCGAAGAAACGGTGTGGCCAAAATTATTAGCTCTTTATTTGAAAACCGAGACACACATGTATCAATAACATAAAACCATTATAAGCAAGCGAAAAAGCTAGACTTTATAACATCCAGATTTCATTTAGCTTTTCCGCTTCGCCAATAGTGCCCATAATTGAGGCCGCATTGCCTCGCTGTATCTCCAATGAGATACGCTGTCGGAGAAATTCGTGCGAGCGTTTTTCTCCAGAGTGGTCCCGCAGACGTCTTCCTAGCTCCTTAATCAAGGCGATAGCCGATGGACCCCAAGCCCCCATAGTTTCGAAAGCTATTGGGGCGAAAATGTATCGACCGTTCAAGTACGAGTAGAACCTGGATTTCTTTTCTTCTGCCTGGACAGCGGCCGCTCCCGCAGTTGTCGCGGTGGATTTGACATGGGAAGCAGCAACAGTATCGACACATGTGACATCCCAAGCCAAGCACATTCCTCTTTTCCATGCGAAGGTTGTACAGCCGTCAGGACGTCGTTCATTCGTGTAAGAGGTGCCGCGTGGTTATAGTTTAGCTGGGATACCTGCCGAGACGAAGGCGCGGCATACAATGCTGTTGAGAGCACCATGTCGCGGGTGCCTTCCGGCCGAGAAAGTGCATGATAGACCGTGATGAGCGTGGCCATCAACAGACTTGTGGCATTTCATACATTCATGTGGATCACAGATCACAGCACCGAGTCTAAGGCCGACAGAAATTTTGAGCGTGTCGTCGTCAAGTAGGTTGCCGATATGAGCGGAAGGCAGCGCGTTAAGCCAGACACCAGCTTCCGGACTTGACTGGGCAAGAAGGCGCGCTTTATTGATTTCGTCGTCGCGGAACACTTCAAGTAGAGTGGACAGGGAAACGTTGCACAAAGGTAGATCCCATGTTTTCTGCAAGCTGCGAAAGCCAGGGTCAGGAAGTTCAGCTAGGCGAGTATTGAGTTTCCACAATTCCTGAGCTGCAGAGACATCCACTGCCGGTCGCCCGGGAGCAGTAAAGATACCTGGCCGGTTACGGAATGAATCGAGGCTAAATAAGCCGGGAGAGCTAATTCTTCCGATCGACGTATACCAATACCACCTTTGCTAACCGGTAGACTTGCTTGCCGCCAGCATGGATAATCATCGTGATTGGTTCGGACATTGCACAGCAATTGGAAACAAGAACGTAGAACTTCATCGATTTTGTATAACTGATGCGGATACTTCCAAGCATTACAACACCTCAACATATAAATTATCTTTGGCGCGCCAAGGCAGTGTTTCAATAGATACAAGGCATGGTGTCGAGGAAGATGCTGCATTTGTTCGGATACGATGGTTAAAGCCGCCGCTTTCTCCGCAAAAATCGGGGCAATCGCTTCATCCAAAACAGGAGCCCCGAGCAGTGTAAAGCTAGAGCTTGACATAACGCGCAGTGCCGGATGTCGTGTCAAGAAGTCCTTAATTGCCTCCTGTTGTGAACATTCAGTCCCACCTGTAACATACAACTCGCATTTTCCTATGTTGATTTCCAAACCCGCTGCCCGAGCGCCTTCAACAATCCTCCCGAAATTTTCCAGTACGTCTCTGGGAAGGCCGCCAAGTGTCCCGTCGTCGAGATACCATGCATTAAACTCCGCTTCCAGAGTGGCAACAACCGCGTGCAAGGCGAGGCAAAACAGTAACGGTCCCAACGGGTCACCCTGCTGCACTCCAGCTTCAGACGACAGAATGTGGTCACCGACAAACAGTGCTGAGTGGTGTCCGTACGCAGACTGGAAAAAGGCGTAGTATTCCGGGAAATGCGACTTTACAGCGTCGAGTACCACTTCTCTAGACACTGTGTTAAACGCGTTCCGAAAATCTATCTTGACGACCGCCTTGGTGATATCTGGTGAAGCATTGAGGAAGTGCCAAAGTTCGCTGGCATGACTCCACTGAGCTTTGATGGTGCTGGCGTCGAAGTCAACGAAGTAGTTGTCTCCGTCGATATCCTGAACGTATCCTAGCCACCACTGGCCGTTGTCGCGTAGCACCAGCACCGTGTTCCCACAATTAACTTCGCGGCGCCCCGAGTACAACTGCCGAAAGTACAAAGGAGTGGCGTTCATCGTGATCGTCTGCATTTGCTAACCATTAAAAGTTCGTCGCGTCGATCTATTTTTTAGGTGGCGTGGCTAGCAACTTTGAACCACGCTCAGAGGTTCGCATATGCGTGTAACAGACAGGAAAAATTTTTATCTGTGAAGTACACCAATTTACGCAGTACGAGTGCAAAAGAGACCCTAATGGTAGGATAAGAAAGGACACTGTAACAGAAATTTGGATTTGATAAATGCGGCAGCTTACTTCGGCAAGATTTGCATGGAGCAGGCTGCCGCGGAGAACTAGTGGGTCCCCAAGGGCTTGAAATACTTGTAGAGAATCTGTAGAATACAATTGCGGTGCATAGCTTATCTGGATTTGACCTGCGTATGGCGCCGTGATCGAAGCCGGCCATCACATGATTCACATCCGCGTTGGTCTAGCTGAAATCTAGCGACGGGCGGCTGCCGTTTTACAGCAGTGGACGAAAAAATCAGTATTGAATGTACTGTATAAAACATGGATGGATTGCACGAAGAAGGAAGTATATGGTCAAGCAGATGCACATAGTTTGACGTAATTTGAGTAATTGTCCGTAATCAACTGCATTTATCATGCTCCTCAAATATCAGCTACGCTAATTATTGCTTCTCATCGCAAAGGTTAAATTTAGGGTTCCAAAAAATTAAGCATGCGTTGTACAGTAATTCGTATGCATTAAAGCGATGGTGGCTGTCACACAGCGAGTCCCATTTTAACATAAAGGTGCACAAGTCAATGCTATTTTCTACGGCTAAATAAGATAAATATAAAACAGGTCAGTTCAACAAGCCAAAACATTTTTGGCGAGACCTTAACCGTATACCATACTCGCTACAAACTGTAAAATTATCTACTACTAGTAAGCTCACTACTAGTCTACTATAAGACATAGGCGGCTGGAACCCCTCGGCCAGTGGGCCGAGGGGTTCCAGAAAAAATTTCCAGTGGTTCCAGATCTCCAAAAAAAATTTTTAACATAGTGGTCTATGGGCCTGGTGCACCAAACCGGGAAGCTCCAGCCGTCCCTAGTGTAAGATAATATTATTATGAATGGCACTGTGCAAATAAGTACATGAGACAGGCACTGCGCAAATCAATTGCCGCTGACAGGAAGCAACCGCGCGCACTGTAGTGGCTGTTTATGTAATACACAGCGATCCAACCAATGCAGTCTGTTTCGGAAAACATTCTCCTTCGCATTTCTGCAAATACTACCTATGTAATAGTAATTTATTACCTAGCAAACTGCAGTGCAACAGAAGTTGCTTGGTAACGCAAGCTGCCCGTAAAGGTCTCGATATGTGTGATATATCCCGGAATTTTCTCGTGTCTGCACATGGGCTGTCTACAGCTTGGGCTCCCGTCAAGGATTTAGCGCATGTGTGATGTGCCGGGTTTCGTTTAGTAATAATTGACAAATTCAGAGTCGTGGCTGATTTATTGAAAGTTATGCCTTGGTAAATGATTTCGAAGGAGTGAAATTTTTTCTGGTCCACGAACTTCACAATCAACTGTTATTCTGCAAGAAAAGCCTGTGAATGGAAGCGGACGCGACAGTCAGGCTGTAAAGCTTTGCGGCGGCAAAATAAGGTAACGATGGCTTTGAAAGCTGATGGCATATACCAATTACTACGCTATGCAAAGCGCGATATGACGGTTGTGGCGGACGGAAGGTCACGAGACTTCCGAATCTGTTGTGATCCGGGTTGAGTAGACTAACGTGGTTTTAATTGAATGTAACATTTTTGACACATTAGCACGAGAAACGATTACGGTTTGAGCTATGATTATGAACAAAAATATGATGACCGGTAGGACCAAAGTATGGAAGGAATAGGAAGAGGGGGAGGAGGGACATGCGGTGGTAAATAGCGCCTGTTGTGGTACTGATTGAGGGCGCTCTGACGATGCCGGAGCAGATTGAGATCAGGGTGGAGGCAGTCGTTAATGTTGCATTAGACCGACTATATGCTAAGGAAAGGTCGCGCTTAGCAATATCAAACAACCGAGGATGCCGTAAAGCTAACTCGGCTATTTATAACACTATTTTACTATTAATATTGCTATTATTATTCATAATGCGGTATTTAATACTAACAATACTTAATAGTAATAATATCTAAGTACTAATAAGTACCAGTGCGCACTGGTAGGAGTTATGATTATGAACAAAAACATGATGATCCGGTAGGATTAAAGTATGGTTTTGATTATTCAGAGAGCCTACATGAGTAGGAATCCTGAATTACATAAGAGTAAAGTTTATGAGCATATTTGGGGAACGTAATGAGTATTAGGTACATACCTAGCAAGCACAATGTAATAATTACAGATACCAATGGGTGCCTATATTCATAATAAGTAATTTAAAAAATAATAATTTATTTTTCGACATTCATCTCCGCCTCTGCGTCTTGATTGATACCCATCGACTTAATCGTAATAGTCGTCAAGGTGGATTTCCCGCTGCCGCCGGTACTGCCTTTCCAACTTGCACTGCAGTTGCCATCACAGGAGCTTTCTTTGTCACGGTGTCCCCTTTGGGTGGCTCCGGTTATTGCTAGAGGCGGTGATGTGCGTCGCCAATTATCGTTGATGGCTTGATGGAATTATCTCCGAATGTGGCCCATCTGACCACATTGGTCGGCGTCGTGGTGGTCGCTTCCGTTGATATGCATGTCTGCTATTGTTATCCCCATTGAACGACAAAGTGCGCGCGTGTATATTATAGGTAGGCGGAATGCTGTCTATCAATTATTTCGTAATTCGCATTCGGGATAATTATCTAATGAATACTGCGTTTATGTTATTATGTACAATCGCAACCTGTAACTGTGGTTTTTCTTAAAAATTCTTGAACTGGGTTGGTAAGAAATAATTTATGATATGCCCTTGGTTGCAAACAAGTTTAGTTGCAATTACAACTACACAAAATATGCAGAAAAAAATATATAAAAATGTAAATAAAATTATAAATCCATAATATTGTACATAACAACTATAACAAACATGATGAACTACTTTTCTTCTCCGGGTGCAATTCTGCGTTGTGGAATTCTGTTTCGTCATGTTCTTACCAGGGCAGCGTCACCGGCCCCCCCTCTCAGAAAAATTTCATTTTTTGCAGGGTTGCAGAGTAACACTAGGGTATGCTTAAAAAAAATAGTTTCATCTGCCATGGTCAGTAGGGCGTGGCCAAACAGAATTTAGAAGTTTAAAATTTGCTATGTTATAGCCTATGGCCAATGCATTGCTTCGTACTTTAAGCACATTTACGATTTAATACAAACCACTTCACGTGGTATCGTACGAGGCTTATGTGCGCTAAATGTTCTCGGCTTCCCGTTTCTGAAACGGACTAGTAGATGACAGTTAATTATTTTTAAGTTTAGAGATAATCTGTAGGTCCTCATTACCTCGGTTTTCGTGCTAGCGGTATGTGATAAAAACTGATAGCGCGAATGGAAATGGAAGTATTTACACAATTACACCTGCTAATCTAGCTCTTACAAAATATTGTTAAGTACCACGTACAGGCCGCTTCAGAAACAAAAACGGTTAACGGGGAATATTGGACACACATAGGCCTCGTACGATAGCGCATTCAAGTGGTTCGTATTAATTCGTAAATGTGCTTAAAGTACGAAGCAATGCATTGGCCATAGGCTATAACATAGCAAGTTTGTAACTTCTAAATTCTGTTTGGCCACGCCCTGCTGACCATGGCAGATGAAATTATTTTTTTAAGCATACCCTAGTGTTACTCTGCAATCCTGCAAAAAATGAAGTTTTTCTGAGAGGGGGGCTTGTGACGCTAGCCTGGTTAATCATAGATGTTACGCTGAAATTCTGCGTCGGAATTGGCTGCGTGGACAACGGCTAGCTCTGGTCTATTTTAAGTTTAAGTTTAAGTTTAATCGTTTAACGTCCGCACACAATCTGGGTAAGACCCAATCCGAGGCAGCAGACTCATCATACTTAAAATAAAGCAAACATCGAATAATGCTAGGCAAACAAATTAACAAGCGCTCAAATTTGTAACAACTGCACATGATCAGTATGGTAAAACTTTTTAAGCGACTTTACTGTTTTCCAATCAACAATATTTAAAGCCGTTTTAAATTTACTCAAACTCCCATAAGCTTCTGCCGGCATGCGTAGGTCATTCCATATCCTAGCCATCCGATAGGCGAAAGATTTGTCCGACGGGGGAAGTGTCAGACCACAAAACTTTGATCCGGTAGGGATTATCGGTCATGGGTGTTCAGCCATCCTCTGCCAATGACGCGTCGCACCTGCAACACCACAACGCGCAGTAACATCCTTGCAGAATAATTTATCTCCGTAGGGGATAATGTTGTACAGAAACTTGTAGGTCAATTGTAAACTGTGTTTGAGATTTCGCCGCAGAATCGGTTCCAGTTCAAGTTCTTTTAGCCTGCCTTCATAATTATTCGGTTGACCTTTGATTGCAAGCGATCTGAGAAATCTTTTCTGAACACTTTCGACAGCATCAATTAATCCTTTTTGAGCGGGAAATGTTACAGATGCACAATAATCGGAGACAGGAAAAACTATGCTTTTATACAATACACAACGTGCCGACAAGTCTCGACGTCGAAACAGTGTATTAAGGTATCTTAGCCGTTTAAGCATCCTACTAGAAACATTTTTACACTGTAACTTCCACTTGTGATTGCGCTCAAGGTAAATTCCCAGATATTTGGCAGAATTAACTATAGGAATGGCTTCCCCATTCAACTGATAGCAGTGAGACGACTTCGCACGAGACGAAAACTTAATACAAGCAGATTTTTTACCGTTAAATACGAGGCTATGGTTTCGTGCCCATTCAGTGACACTATCAAGATCTTTCTGAAAAGCTAATTCATCCGCGTTCGTTTCGATAATCGTACACATCATTACGTCATCTGCAAACATCAACAACTCGCTTCCGTGTACACAAACTTCGGGAAGGTCATCGACCAAGCAGTTATAAAGAGAGGGGCCAAGGCGCGAACCTTGAGGCACTCCGCTGGTAGCCGGTAAAGAAACAGATTTTTCGTTACTTACAATAACTGCTTGAAACCGGTTGGACAAGTAACTACTAAGAAGTTTCAACATATTAGACGAAACGTTTAATTTTGACAATTTTTCAATCAAAATTGCGTGATCAACTTTATCGAATGCTTTACTACAGTCTAGAAGTACCACTTCGACACTTTTTTCGCGGCTTAAAGCTTCGGTTAATTTTTGACAAAACAAAGTTAGCAACAGCTCTGTTGAATGCTTTCTGCGGTACGCAAACTGTTTTTCAGTAAACTTACCAATTTGCATTAATAAAATTTCACATAAACATTTTTCAAAAACTTTTGATAAAGGGTGCAGCAATGCTACTGGTCGCCAGCTTGCAGG